CTTGCCCCAAACATCGAATTAAATTCGAATTTAAGCCGCCAAGCTGGCCTGACCCAGCCCCCGCTATAGAATGGATTAAATTTGAATTTAATCCTTTTTAGAATTTGAAATTCAGCCTCATCCAAATAGAATATGGAACCACCCAAAACCCTATTCTAATTTTAAAGCCCGCCATTATGAGTCCTGTTTTAGGGCTTACCCCCAAAGTTGGTCAAGTAATGGCCCAACAGCCATAGAAGACAATTATGATGATCCTAGAAAGTATGTAAACCCTAAAGCCTAAAGTGTTGGGCCATTACTCTAGAATTCTAGGGGTGAGGCTTTCTGCCGGGGTTTCGCAGATCCCATTGACAATTGAGGTTTCCAGTTTGAGACGGCCCGAAAGGGCAGCGCATCATTGATCTAGCACGTCTGCTTCCGGTGAAGACTGCTGAAAGTGCTTCCCACCGGACTTGAAACTAAAACATCTCGAACTTGAACCCGCAATGCTCCGGCTACTCAGAGCTTCGATCGCGGACCCCTCTAAGTCTTTTTGTGGGCTCCATGGACGCGGAATGGCGCAAGGTTTAGGGCTTCTTAACACACTTCGGACCCTAATCCCAAAACCCTAAACCCAACACCCTAAACCGCAGCGATACATGCTACACTCTACAGGTCCTACCAAGACACCCCGAAGTACCGTGCTAGTGCTATGGGTTCTCTTTTCGTTGAGAATTTCTTGGGAAACTGGACAACTGAGCCATGCGTTCAATTTCAAACCACTAAGTCCTGAAACCCCAAAGCCTAAAACCGAACCCATACGGTTGATGATATAAACCTTGCATTACTCATAATAAGGAATATACCATAATTCCCATAGTTTAGGGTCCTTAAAGTAATGCAGGATTTAGATCATCAACAGTATGCACCTATATAGTAGAATGCAGGGCTTCTATATTAGGAATGACTACTATGTTTTGGGGAAGTTTCCCCCGTAACAGTACATAGGACCTTCTGGGATTGTAGTTCCTTTTGGCTGAACTACTTCTTGTATGTTACTCGTAATAGTAGTAAAGCCCTAAACCCTAAACCCTAAACCCTAAAACCCTAAAGCCCTAAACCCTTATAACTAAACCCTAAACCCTATATATCAATAACAGTAGTAAGGCGCTAAACCCTAAACCCTAAAACCCTAAAACCCTAGAACCCTAGAACCCTAAACCCTTACTAAACCCTAAACCCTAAACCCTTTATATCATCAACAGTAGTACAGCTTCAGTAGGCTGTTTATATGGGATCCAAAAAAGACGTAAGCATAAGCATTTTATAGGGATATCCTTACCTTATTGGGCTTCATATGTGCTTTTTTGGGGGCCCTATTTTAAGCCTCCGGCCACGAGGATTCTTCCCCCAGATCCGGGGAGCCGAAGTGCGGCCAAGCGCATCACGCATCAGGAGAATCTGAGGGTTTAGGGGTTTAGGCATCAGGAG